CCAGTTCAGAGTCGATATACGACCTGATACTGTACCTAGTTTGTTATAATTATTAACACAATAATATAAATATAATTTGTGTTCGATCTTTGTATTAATAATTATAAGAAACTAGTGGAGTAATTTAACAAAAAAATAATTGAATATCATCATGGTGAAACATTTTGATATTCAATAAAAATGTAATCCTTTTTTTTATAGTTATTATAAAAAAAGTCATGAAGCAAAGTATCCTATCTACAATATTTAAAGCACTTTCCCTCTTTCTCCAACAGCTGTGTGACGCCCTTTATAAATTCGAAATATCTCAACACTACCGTTACCTTTTCCAGGTAACAAACTGGTGGTCTCAAGTAAAAACCGCGGGGTCAGCTATATATGCCAACAGACACTATTTAGAACTAACTCGAGGAAGCAAAGGCGCAGCACAACCTGCCTGTCAAATTATACCCGACGTCTTCGTTCATCCCAGCGCTAGTGTTGATTCTACAGCTGTTGTAAGTATTTTTTTTTTAGTAAATAATAAATATTAGACAACATCACATGCGTTGTTCTGATCCCAAAGTAAGTTTACAACTGCTACTAACGCAGTTGTGAATGAGTTCGTCCAGGGAAGTACTGCTACCTTACCTGTTTCTACCGCCAAACAGTTATGCAAGCATTACTGCGTTTAGGTTTGAAAGGTAAGGGTGCTGGTGAAATTACGGACACATGGGACTTGTCGACTTATGTCTCAGTAGCGATGTCCGTCAGAATTGCTATGGACTGGCATGTCGCTTACCACCAGGGGCACGTCTTGTTCGCCCCGTCACCATCATATCAGCTGGATGACGTCCACTGCTGGACATAGGCCTCCCCCAAAGATTTCCAGACCAGCCCATCGGACGCGACGTGCATTCGTCATTTACTTGCCGCCCTTGCCAGAACATCCATCCATCTAGTAGGGGGCCGTCGCGCTGAACGCCTTCCGGTTCGTGGTCTCCATTCAAGAATGTCTATGTATGAGATATGTGCCCTGCCCACTGCCACTTCAATTTGTTTATCCTTCGAGCTATGTCGGTGACTTTCGTTCTACGGATCTCCTCATTTCTGATTCGATCACGTAGAGAAATGGCGAGCATTGCTCGCTCCTTAGCTCATTGAGTAACTTTGAGCTTTTTTATGAGGCCCATAGTAAGTGACCACGTCTCAAAGCCGTAGGTCATCGCTGGCAACACGCACTTCTCGAAGACTTTTGTCTTCAAGGACTGCGGTATTGCGGACGAGAAGACTTCCCGGAGCTACCCGAAAGCTGCCCAACCGAGTCGGATTCAACGATTGACCTCTTTCTCGAAGTTGGCCCTGCCTAATTGGACGGTTTGTCCGAGGTAGACGTCCTCGTCAACAACTTCCCATTGTTGTAGTTTCAGTTCCTACTTGTTATATGTTCATTCCGTCACTTGGTATTGTTACAAAAGTAACTAAAGCACTTATGTTATGGATATCAGAAACAACGACGGTAACATGAACACCCATGCTCGAGACAATATAGAAAAGTTAGTCTTCTGCATTGACCCGGCCGGGTATCGAACCCGGGACCTCAGAGATGGCGATACCGTGAAAACCAGTGTGCGAGCTACTCGACCAAGGAGGTCGTCAAATTATCGTAAAAAATATGTGTACAGATCGGGCCAAACGTGTCAATCGGCGCAGGAGTGACCATCAAAGCCGGCGTCCGGATAAAGGAGAGCATTGTACTGAACAATGCTACAATCGGCGAACACGCTTTGGTTATGTACTCTGTCGGTAAGTAAATAAATATCATCGAGTATATAATCAGAAGTAGAAACGAAATGTCATTTAATTTGTTTGAAAACTATTCTGCCAATTCAAACTGCGCTCCGATTGGCCAGCCCGAATTCGAAACAATTGACGAGTGTCGTGTTTAACTTGAACTTTGCTATGATGGACGAAAATTGAAAAATTACATATTTAATATTTAATTACCGATGAAATGTGATACCGTTTGTTTTGGAATTAGATGTTTTGCTGTTTATCCCACACCACAGAATGGAACATCCCCCATTGTTACATTATTAGAGATATTATCTTTATTACAATAAATACAGAACATTTTAGGAATATACGGAAACGTAGACACAGGTCAGTTGTTGGCGCTGTACTACTTCAGGTTTCCAATTTGTTATTTCAGCGCAAACGAGAGTTGATATTTAAAAGTGATAAGGCCTATTTGCCTAAACAGTTGGCAGGGATTGATGGCCCTTATTTCGTCTCTATTTCTTTTATATACTCGATGATAAATATGGACATCGCCACATCTTTCTTAACACCACTTAAGAATTAAATTCAACTCCTTGCCTTTTATAATACAATGGTCCGAAGTGAAATGTATAAAGCCAAGCAGCACGCTTACCTTGGGTATGTATTATATGTAAATAAGAACTGCCTATGTCTTCTCGAAAGTTGTATACGCTGCTAGTGTGGGATTCAAATTGCTGGTTAAATTACTGGTACACGGGACTTGTCTACTTATGTCTCAGGGTGACAGCAGCACAGACAATATTCCTCAGATCTTTGCGATTTAATGGCCCGAGTGGCACTGCAACTGTCGTGGATATACGTGCATCAGGCGCACGACTTATTCGTCCCGTCATTTGATATTATAAAAAACATCAGTTTTAATGTTTATTTCATTGATTATCTTGATGTTTTTACTGCCATTATATTCTTCTATTTCGAACAAACACAGAAAAATTCACATGTTGCGCTACGACCCAAAAACTCGTTTAAACCGAAAAAACAAAGATCAGCAACAAGCACATAGGAAAATTCGTGAGGTCTGCTGGTTTGTTCCGTAGCTCAGTTAGAAGAGCGATCAGTTCCGGTCTGGCAAATAAGCGCCATATCTTTGTACGTCACTTTTGATTATACTGACCCTCCCTACCTACCCTGACGAGGTTTACGAGAAGAGCACAAGAACCTGTGTGCGCACAGGAACCTTATAAGTTCATCAGCCAGTGTACAGGGTTGTCATTGACCTCTGTCACTTGACTTCATCCGGTTCTTCGAGAAGCTAGTGCTTCGGGTGAGCCGCCCCGGGTGTAAATACAGTTCCCTCCCTATTTTCCAGATAGGTACTGGAGCTATAGGCACGCTCACTTCCCGTTGCGCATTGCACAACTAGTGGCTGCCACCGCTAAGCCGTCGACTCTGAGTCCACGACCAAATCTCCTCATTGGTGGCGGAGATGTAAGACACGCTCACTTCCCGACGCCGAAAAACGACGTCTCTCCAGTCCCAATAACCTAAGCGGCTGGAGGGACCGGAGGATATCTAGCTTATCCTCTACTAGCTCTCCGGGCTAGTGCCGTAGATGCCAGTCGCAGTGTCCTGCGACAATGTCCGGACATAGCTTCCAGCTTAAAGGGCAACTCACGTAACCCGCGCGTCTCCTCGCTTCAGGCCCTCAACTAGACCTGTACTAAGACGCGCTAGCTGCTCACGAGACAGACGCCCCGGAAACATGCAAAACCGGGGCAGACAAACATGTTCGTCTCTGCAGCTAACCACAAACCCCAGCGACTCCATACCCAAGTCCGGGTCCGCCAGAGACGCCCGCAAAGGCGTATCACTGGCGGAGGGCTTGGCGCGGACGCCCGCAGTACCCTGGTCTTGCCGTCGAGCCCGTAGTCTCTCCGGAAAACCCTATCTCTCGGGTCGGTAGATAGGGACAAACAGTCGCTGGTGCGAATCCAGCCGAATCGAAGGCATTTTTCTTTGTGTTTGTTCAATGTAACTGTGTACAATTACCAGTGAATGGTTGCCATGCTGGTCTGCCACGCAAAGCTCCTGGGTTTGATCCCCGGGCCGCGGGAATATACGTACGGCCTACATTTATTTCTCTCGTGAGTGTGCAAGGCACCCACGATACAAGTTTTCCCTGGTGCTTTAATTATTTTAATTATAATTATTCTTGTGCCCTAGATTAATAACATTGTTGAGGTTTTTGTTGTCAATATTAAATAACATTATGAAGGTTTTTGTTAAATCTATCAAATCAGTTTTCTGGGGCGACATTCTACATACATGCAATTAGAACTGTCTCCCTTATAGACCAAAACGTGCAAAAATAATATAATTATAATATATTATTATGAGGAGAGGACGACCGAGAATAGTATTCAGTGAACAAATAAAAAGGAGGTTAAAACGCTGGCTATGGATTGTGAGGAATGGAAGAGGCTACACCAATAACGTGGCTATGATCATGAACAAACTGCATAGGTTTCTTTTAAAAAAGCCAAACAATTTTTAAATTTTTTTGGCTATTAATACAAAAAACAAATCTATCAGTTAGACCAATCTAGTGGAGTATTTTCAAAAACGTATACTAGTATCATTGTAATTCGCTCTTATTAACTGAACTACAGATGCGAGTCAACAAATTCTACGAATTTGTCTATGTTTCCAGATCTTTGTATTAGATTCTCACGTGGGGTAAAGCGGCAGATATTCAAACCATAGTTGTATTGCAAAAACGAGCGATTCGTTCTGTGTACCGTCTAGGATCTCGGGTTTCTCTCAGAGAAAAGTTTAATGAGACTAGTATCATGACTGTGGCATTACATTTACTCAAATATTTTATCCGTAAAAATATACATAATTTTAATAAGAAAAAGATATCCGTAATATTAACCTTAGAGCTAAGTCCAAACTCATGGTACCACGATTTTGTTTAACCAAGGTAAACGACTCTTTTATGGGGAACTGTATATGTTTTTACCATTGACTTACAATTATATGGACGTCGGGTCCGCGCTAAAAAGTGTCCGCACTTTTAAGGCGCTAAAATCGTATACAAAGCGCGACACTCCGCTTTAGTCTTCATTTGTTCTACTGACAGCGCGATACTGCGATGACATTACAATTTAAATTTCGAATAGGTTGACTTGGGACATTTTTTTCGTGGTTTTTGTATTAGACCCGTCGTCCATTTATTTGTAAGTCAATGGTTTTTACAATAAGATTCCGGAGCAAATATTAAGATTATCATTTCCTAAGTTTAAAAACTATTTAAAAAATATTTTGATTGAAAAGTCATATTACAAAATTGAAGACGTGTTATATAAAGATGTATGGAAAGACGGGTTGGCTCCAGAATCTACACTAATTTGACTCAAAGTGTATGCTAAAAGAGCAATCCCTAGAGTTTCTTGCTCGTTCTTTTCAGGAAAGTCAGCGTAGTGAACGAGCAGTAGTTTAAATGTGACGTTTTCAAGCATTGACTTACAATTATATGGACGTCGGGTCCGCGCTAAAAAGTGTCCGCACTTGTAAGGCGCTAAAATCGTATACAGAGCGCCAAACTCCGCTTTAGTCTTCATTTGTTCGACTGACAGCGCGATACTGCGATGACATTACAATTTAAATTTCGAATAGGTTGACTTGGGACATTTTTTTCGTGGTTTTTGTATTAGACCCGTCGTCCATTTATTTGTAAGTCAATGTTTTCAAGTGTAAATTTATTTTACCTATGGAATAAATGATTATTTTACTTTGAGTTGGAGATGTAAATGTCTTTAAATTTTCATCTACAAAAATCATCCACACATTATCTCACGCCATGAATGTTTATATTGCAGTTGGCCAGGACGCGTCCGTAGGTGAATGGGCCCGTGTAGAAGGCACGCCGTCAGACCCCGACCCTAACAAGCCATTCGCCAAAATGGACAACACGCCGCTGTTTAACACAGATGGAAGACTTAACCCCTCCATTACCATACTAGGTAACTATGATCACATTATCTCACTCCTAGCTAACCATCATAAGTAGTGCTGTGTTACTATAATGCCGACGACCTCGATGGCGTGGGCGCTGGATACGGAGGTCTCGGGACCAATTTGGGAAATGAATTTTTGTAAATTAAAGTAATTTGTGGTTGTCTATATATGTGTCCATGGCAGTATCGGCGATACAGGGTTTCCCTAGTGCGGGGCTATGAGTGTGTTGCGTTACTTATTTATCAATTTATTAATACGAAATGATCTTTTATCTACACACATATCATAAACTTTCTATGATGTGTTCGAAAACCGCAAATTGCAAATCACGACCAGCATAAAGATATACTGTTTTATTAGAACAAATTTCTTATTGCATAATAACGTCGAATTCGATTTTATTATTACATTCAAATTTCGAACGTCTCTGAAAAACAAAACAATTTGATTCGACCTCAATTCTAATATCAGTCGAGGTGAAATTTTATTCGAAATAAAACGTCAATAGTAAACAATTTTGACGAATTTTACACGTTACTTGATATCGAACGATATGATAGTTTGGGGCGGACTCTAGATTGTCTATGAATTAAAAAAGAAATACAGTTGCGTGACATGCGTGAGAAAAGTTTTTATTTGCCGCCATTTCGCCAGTCGTAACATGCGGTTTCTGAACACATCATAGAGAGCTTAAATGTGTACAGATAAAGCAGTGTATGTAACTGTACATAATGACGGCGCGTATACATGCTAAGAAATTCGTCGTGACTGCAACAGAAAAGACGAGAATGGCCTTGTACACGACAAGAATTTTGTCGGATCTAGCCACGAAAATATTTCGTGTCTGTTGCAGACAAGAAAATGATGAGTATGTACACGATACGAATGCTTTCGGGCAGACATGTGTAGGGTAAACGTGTGAGAGTACTTACAGGTAGCTGTCGTTTTACTACCGACTGTGTGAAGAAATATGTAGACTACTAATAAAAAAAATGGTGTCTGCAAATGAAATGTATAGAATAATAAATGTTTCTCTCCATGCCTCAAAAGTACGTCGTTTAACTTTATAAATCTCTAAGGTTTTGTCCCACAATACGGGTCGTTTCTCTACTAAACTTATAAATAAATCATGCATTTTATTATTCGCAATGAAATTAGTGGTGCAACAGTGGTACTTTGCAAAATCAGTCCACGCGCATAAACGTTCGTTTACTGACAATGTGCCCTAAGCAATAGCGGCAGAGCGCGTCGCGTCGGGGGTAGACAAGATTTTTTTCTTGTCGGGGGCCGTACTATGTGCAATTAAATAAAAACAAAGTAGGTACCTAGGAAATGAAACTATTTTTCCGGATTTAAATCGCGCATATTTGTTTTTTCAAACAAACCGACGTTTCGGGCCATTTACAGGTCGCATGGTCACGGTTGACCTGTAAAGGGCCCGAAACGTCGTCGTCGGTTTGTTTGAAAAAACAAATATATCCGATTTAAATCCGAAAAAATAGTTTCATTTCCTATGTGTAACAATCGCGAAAACCTAAAAACTCGATAACAAAGTACCTGTTAACTAACACATTTCTTGACGAATCCTACAAAAAAAAATATTTTAAATGCTAGAACCAAAAAAAACTCTCGTGATGTAACTTTTTAAGATTTGTTATAATTATTAATACAAAGATCGAACACTCAAAAAAATTTCTTCGATCCGGCCGGATTCGAACCGACGTCTTCTAGCAAACCGTGTCAGACGCTATACCAACTAAGCCACGGAACGAACTAGAGGACCTCACGAATTTTTCTATGTGCTTGCGTCGTATCTTTGTATTTGGTTTTTCAACGACCTCTTAGCCGTAGCGCCATCTATGAAAAATCTATGATATTTCGTCACCCAGTTAGAAGATACCCTTACAGCTACTACTATTCATACATATTAATATTATACAATTGTTCATTATATTTGAATTTTTATTGAATTCGGCTGGATTCGAACGTGTACCCTCAGGGCGCATGTCCACGCTAATAAAAGTCGCCGCGTCTATGCAAGAATTCTTGTCGTTTTACACGCGAACTGTGTACACTGCCTCGGCGCCGGACAAGAAAAAAAAATCTTGTCTGCCCCCAACACTACGCGCTCTGCCGCTATTGTATGGGGCGGGGTGAGGTGCATTGTCAGTCATACATACAATAACATATTTTCTTCCCACAGTCGGTAGTAAAACGACAGCTACCTGGAAGACTCGTAATGCACTGACACGTTTTACCCTACACGCGTCTGTCAGAAAGCATTCGTATCGTGTACGTACTCATCATTTTCTCGACTGCAACAGACACGACATGTCTTCGTGGCTAGATCCGACAAAGTTCTTGTCGTGTACAGGACCATTCTCATCTTTTCTGCAGCAGACACATCGGATTTCTTAGTGTGTTTTCAGGCACTCCGTGCCAGATGCTCTGCCAGTTAAGCCACGGCACAACCGGCAGACCTTATGAATTTTTCCATGTGCTTCTTGCAGACTTTTGTTTTTGATTTTTAACGACTTTGTTAAATATTGCCTACAGGTGCCGGGGTAGTGGTACCGGCAGAGACAATCCTGCTAAATTCAATAGTCCTGCCGCACAAACATCTCGCAAGGAGCTTCAAGCACGAAATAATTTTATAGTGTTATATCTCTGCTGTTAGAGGACAAAGAGACCAATTTATTGTTATAAAAGTTTATTGTAAGTTCATGTGTTGTGACAACCATAAAAAGGTAAACGCAAACCTTACAACGACGTCGGTGGCCCAGAGATAGAGGGTTTTTCATGAGGAGATCCCGGGTTCAGTTCCTGGTACGACCGTATCGTCGTAAATTTAAATATGAATTTAGGAATCAATGGTTTACTACATTGGTTCTGTTCTTAAGTGTTCGGGGTAACTAGTGACCCTTAGTTAATTTGTGTAGGTTTAGGGTATATCTTAACTTCAATTTATTTGATACAATTATTTACAATAGTGTTATAACTCAAAATATGTGAAATTCAACATTATACCATTATTGAACGTAAAATTTGATTCTCTATACGTCAATAAAACCCTAGTTAGAATAGTGTAAAAAACAACTAGAACATGTCTACTTAACTCAAAATGAGCCACGCTTTATGTGAGCTAGTTCTGGCCAAATAGGCCTTATTCAAAAATAGGAAACTATTTTTTCTCTTTTATTTTTAAATATATTTGGCAAGTAGGAAATTGTCAGTAATAAACTATAACCTCTACATAAATTTTAATTATCTTTCACGGGAAGCGAGTAATTCGTTTTTCATCGATTCTGAGAAAATACACTTTTTGAGTTGTGTGTGCGAAATAATAATGTCATTATACTAAAAATAATCCACGATGAACCCTGTGACAGTTCATAACAATTTACAAAATTGTAACAACGTGCATTAATTTTTTTACTAGTTTGAGACCAGGCAATTGGTTGTTTGGCATTTTTATATATTTATTAAATAATATTACACATAAAGTCCATATATCGTCGGCTTAGTGCATATAAAATATATGGGAATTAATGCCTTCTTGCAATAAGCCTATATAATATATAAGCCTATAAAATATATAATACGAAGATTGCACTCAACTCAGGTCAAGCCACACATACAAATTTTTTTAGTGTAAGGCTGCAATCACCGTTCCGTATTTGCGACCTAAGTTTAAACGATAGAAATACAAATTAAGAAAGACCTGACGTATTTTATAACTTTAGATCATAGGTTCCCAATTTTGGGTCCCCGCCCAGTTAGGCAAGATAAAAAATTTCGACGCCAACCACCACAAAAAATAATTGAAAACATCAATTTTTTATATTAACTTAATACAAAAAAAACAAGGAAAATAATTATATATTTGTAGTCTAGTTTGTATAGATAATTGAGGTTTTTTTTGCAAACTTAGTGGTACTCCTGGACAGCATCAACGCCCCCCAATTGCTTCCGAGCCCCCTACCGCCCCATAAGACTCTTCAGCGCCAACTGGGTGGCGGTAGGGACTACTCTGGGAAACTATGCTTTAGATGTTGCAAGCACACATCACTAGTCCTAACTAGCTGCTGCCCAAACATCGTACTCCCGACTTGTTTTAAAATCATCATACAGAGTGAAACTTCGCCTTCTTTCTTTAAGTGGAATACAATTTCCTTTATCCCTTTGACGGCCATGGACACTTTTAAAGCGTCATGTATTAACTTGGCTGATACACCTTAAAGCGTCAATGAAATTGAATTTAATAAATAAATATTAAAATATTCCTTGCGTGTATATTCTAGTTAAGTATGGATTCATAGTTGCATTTTATGATCAGTTGTGTTTTTCTTTGACTTAGGAGAATGGAATTAATATACGGTGGAAATTTATAACATGTCCCGTCACTATAATGTAGGCTTGCCATCTAGGGAACAAAACTATTTTTTATCAATGGCGGTCAAAAGGTTATATTTTTAAGGAGTGGCAAAATCTGTAGTATGAACTGAATCGATCAATGCTGGCCGCTTCCGTTTCCTGTACAACTGCTTATTTTCTTATTAGTTTTTTATTGAATAATTTAAGTATGTTTATTTAATTAATTAATGTATAAATTTGTATTAACCAAAGGTTTTAAAATAAGATAGATAGAAAAATATATATAAATGTAAAATTCAAAAAGTCTGAACGTGAATTCGTGATATAAATTATTAAATTTTTGTGCACTCCGATGGAATACAGGTTGAAACTAAAAAGTTCGATTGAATTGAACAGCTGATTTCTTTATATGATATCAGATGGTAAGAGTAAAAGATTTTTAAAATTATTATAGAGGTTAGCCCCAATTGTTAATAGAATCCAAACAAAGATTTTATACTACCTAACTAAACATATATACAAAATTTTCATTTATTGGCTCAAACAAAACTGATTTTAACCACCCAACGTTAAATGTACCAAAACCAACCTGTACAAATAGCATTCGAGTTGATAGTTAGAATTACTATTTTTAACCGACTTCAAAAAAGGAGGAGGTTCTCAATTCGACTGTATGTTCTTTTTTATGTATGTTACGCGATAACTCCGGTATTTGTGAACCGATTTTCATGATTCTTTTTTTGTTGGAAAGGGGGTACTTCCATAGTAGTCCCATTTCATTTTGAATAAAATCATCCACCTCTAAGGGTGGCTGTTCACGCATGAAGACTCATTTTTATAAATTGCGCCTAAACTTTAATTTAGGAGCAATAATTTTAATGGTTGATTTTGCTATTTCTCCAATTCAATGCGTTTTTCTCTCAATATACTTTGAGTAGTGAGAATCGATTTTTATTATCTCCAGTATCAAGTCCTGTATAGTGGCGTGTATACATGTAATTCCAAGTACTTTTGAGGTCGGTTTTTTTAGTACACTGTACTGAGATTATTATGTTTATTGAATATCATGATTTACTACCTTGAGTTTTCTATATTTTTTGCAAAAATAATCCACTACTTTGTTGATACAAAGATCGAACACAAAAAAAAATCCTTTAATCTGACTGGACTTAAATCACTGTCCCCCGGTATGGCAACAGACACTGGTTCGAGTCCAATCAAATCGAAGAAACTTACAACCACTGCGTCACCCTGTATTTAAATTTAATCAACTTGGATGTGAGGATATGTTTGTTACAATGACCGTTCAGACAATTTTGATACGGACTAATATTTACTGCGTCATCAATTAATTAACAAACCACATAATAGCACAACTTTGTTATTGTAATTTAATTAACATATTTTTTCTTACTCTGTAAATAAATTTTAAAAAAACAAGCACAAAAAATTAGGTTGTTTAATTTTTTACCTCATTCCTATTGCTGTTCACTCACGATATATTTATAGCTATGTACTCGTACAAATTTGTCTATCCAACGTAACTTATTTTAAACATTAGTGGAAACTGTTTTGGCTAGTGTTTTGTTCATGTGTTAAAAATTAAATGTGTTATACATAGAGCGCACTATAAGTTTCCGGAACTGGCCACTTACATAAACAATATTTAAAAAGTGAGTAAAATATAATCAATGCTACACAAACATTTGGGTGTGAAAAAACTGCTCTCGGTGGATCCCACACAATTTGACTGAGTCTCAAAAAACGGATCGCGTCACTTGGTGCAATGCCATGTTTACCAGATTCAACGAAAGGGCGTCAAATTTGGTATGGGACATAGTAACAGGTGACGAAACATGGATTATAGTTACGATCCCAAAACAAAGCAGCATTTGAGCGTATGGGTCTTTCGGGATGAGCCGAAACCAACCAAAGTGGCGCGCGTGCAAAGTGCCTCTAAGCAGATTATTGCTTCTTTATTTTAATAAAACTGGACACGTGGCTACTGTTGCTTTGGAGAATCGTTGTACCGTGAATAGTGATTGGTACACGACCATTTGTACAAATACTGCTGCCATCTTTAGGCGGGAGCTCCTGGATGCCAGCTTGGGCCCTTTGACGCGGTTCAAATACATGCTATGAGAATTGTTGACGATCCTGTACTTACAGACGATATTGAACCACTGTCTTGGAGGAGAGACTTTGCCTCCCTATGCCTGTTCTATCGCTTGTACAATGGCCAATGTTCTGAAGAACCGTTTGACACGATGCGAACAGCAACATTTTATCATCGCACCGCTCGCCACCGGCAGGGAGTCCATCCTCACACTCTGCAAACCGAGTCGATCTCGTACTGTACGGTTTCAGAGGAGCTTTCTCCCGCGTACAATTAGGTTGTGGAATGAACTCCCTGTCGGAGTTTTCCCGCAGGAATACAGCATGGAGTCCTTTAAAAGGGGTTTGAGAATGGTTCTAAAGGGTCGGCAAAGCGCTCGTGACGCCCATGGTGTTTCAGGCGTTCATAGGCGACGGTAACCGCTTTCCATTAGGCGAGCCGTATGCTTGTTTGCCTACATAATATAAAAAAAGCCGTAAAAATAACCGTAAACGCCCTATCATCTTGCACCACGATAATGCCGTACCGTAAACGCCGTATCATCTCACACGGCCAGACAGACAAATGAATTTTTGAAAGTGAACAACGTTGACAACGTTATGAGTCATCCCGCGTACAGTCCTGACCTGGCACCTTGTGACTTTTATTTATTTCCAAAAATTAAGAACCAGTTACGTGGTCAACGATTTTCATCACCTGAAGAGGATGTCGAATAGTATGAAAAATATGTTTCAGAGATTGTCACGGAGGAGTGGCATAAATGTTTTCAAACTTAGTTAATTCGTATGAAAAAATGCATTAACGCTTACGAAGAATATTTTGAAAAACAATAAATTCATTTCTGACCATTTATAGTATTTTTTTTCTTATTCATTCCGGAAACTTACTGCGCGCCACGTAATAATGTGTTTCCCAAATAAATAAAATGAAAATAGATACAGATGAGAGAGAAAGGTACAGTAAATAAACATTGAATATTTCCGAATGCTATTGCCGCGCCTATGGTTATTAAAGGTATGTTAGAGCTACAATGATGACTGAGTTTATGACAATAAAATACATTCGAAATTATAATTTAAACAATGTTTAAAGGCAGTCTCACGCGGTGTATGATTTTCCAGATTTCCTCGCACAGCCAACGACCGAGGCTTACCCTACACCGGTCCCGCTATTTTCATATTAGCAATTAATCCAATAATTAATAATAATTCGTTTATTTGCAACATATTACCGCACACCGGCCCCACCCATTTTTCGCTATGCATTAGAGCAATATGCACAACTATAGACGCGTGTGCGTTACTACAGACGAGCCCAAAAACTCGTCTAGAGGTCAAACTGCAAACGATTCTGGTCACATGCAACATAGGGGTTAGTAGCTGTTTTATTCTGAAATGGCTGAATTGTGCAAGAATACCCAACTCGACGTGTTGTAAGAGTACGCGCGTAGACTCACTATTTTTATTAGAATACTTAGTGTACTTCTGAATAAAATTTCTATCGCTATGCCTCTTTCTCAATCAATTGAAACCTTTTGCGAGAGTCTAGTATTTTTAAAGGTTTAACAGACCTGAGGCATGTCCTCCGAATGTATCTGATATATCGGCTGCATGTGCGCCTGAAGCACCACCACTCTAACTGAGGTATGTCCATGCCACAAGTAGACTCTTCTCAGCTCTCCGTGAGCAAAGGCCCATGCATGCCGAGACAAAAAAATCACATTACCAGAAACATATGGAGGTGATTCGTGCAACCGATAAACGAAGTCCTATCAAAAAAGGTGTTGCGTACCCTTTCCGACGCACATGCGTACTCTTACCCATAGTACAGTGTAAGAGTACGCAAATCCCATTTTGCACTTTTTTATCAATTACAACCATACTATTAAATATAACTACTTTTCACGTTAGTATGTAAAAGCCGGATAAATAGACTATAAAATAAAACAATAGCTGATTTTCTAACAACTTTTGTTTTCATTCTACACGGTCTCAAATCTTAAGTGCGTCGTCTTAAACCAGGCCACCCTAAGTTGACAAATCCCATGTGCCTGTAATTACACCAACACTCTTACCCTTCAAAACCAGACCGCAGTAATAATCACATTACTGCTTGGCAGAAATAGGCAAGGTGGCAACTACTTACCCCGGACAAACCTAATCTACAATATTCAAATTACTTCCCTCTATGTCGCATAGCCGTGGAACAGCCTGTAGATGCAGCAACAGCGTTTTGAAATGTTCGTTGTTTTCCGTTATACGTCCCACTGTTGAGCACTGGTCTCTAATAGCGGACCCACATACATCCTCCCGGGAAACAAGCACTTTTTGGCTACAATATACAAGTGATAGGTGCCGAACACAGACCACGTGGTGCCGGCCATCGAGTATATAACCAGAAATAGAGACTAAATGTCATTTAATTTGTTTGAAAACTTTTCTGCCAAATCATTACGGTGATAACTGCGCCCCTATTGGCCAGCCCGAATTCGAAACAATTGATGGGTCGTTAATTGTTTCACTTCAAACGACCAGTTTAACTTGAGCTTTGCTATAATGGACGAAAATTGAAAAATTACATATTAAATATTTGATTAACGTTGGACTTGTGATTCCGTTTGTTCTGTAATTGGATGTTTTGCTGTTTTTCCCACATCACCAAATGGACCAGTCCCCCATTGTTAGAGATATTATCTTTATTACAATAAATACAGAACATTTTTGAAATATACCAAGACGTACCCACAGGTCAGTTGTTGGCGCTGTACTATTTCAGCTTTCCAATTTGTGATTTCAGCGCAAACGAGAGCTGATATTTAAAAGTGATATAAGGCCCATTTGCCTGATGAGTTGCCAGGGATGGATGGCCCTTATTTCGTCTCTATTTCTGGTTATATACTCGATGGTGCCTTACTTACCTTAATAATAATAATTTGTTCATTTGCTCAAAACACGTTTTAATAGAAAACGTAACAAAAAATAATATCTTTAGAATCATGTTCCGTGTACGAAATAGCGTACAAATATCAAGTTATTGAATGTCAATTGATTACTACAAGGACAGGTAAGTTATAGTTTTATTAATTAAATATATCAATAGTTATAAAATATGTGTTACGTCATGATTTTTTGTTATTTTTTTTTTTGTTGAATAGTTTGTGTAAGACTTAATATTTTTAAAATAACTATATGAGATTTGCGTCGTAAATGGTAGTTTATTATGCGGAGAAGAAGCGGGAAAAACAAAATTGGTAAATTGTATAAGTATTTACTATTAAAAAACGGGTTTACAACAAATACGATACATCTAAGGTTGTCTAGAGAATGTGGTCATTTGTTACACGATGTGTAGTACTTTGCTCGATCATATATTACAAAATCCTGAAAACAGGCGAAAATAATAGTCTAGGACGAATTATTTAAGAACAAAACATGTAACTTCGCACATTATTTTTAACCGACTTGAAAAAGGAGGAGGTTCTCAATTCGACTGTATTTTTTTTTTGTATGTTGGGCGGTAAGTCCGGCAGCATTTTTTGTCAAAATCCAGATAGTACCGGTTGCCAGTTCACATTTTTTTTTATATCAATTGAACTACATAGAACACGTAGAGTATACGATATACATTTTTAAAATGGCTTTAATATCGTTTGTAAAAAAAAAAATTCTGAAATGAAGCCCGAGTAAAACCTGCCGCTCGACCCAAGCAAAATGAACCGTATTAGTACGGGAAAAAATGAAATTCGAGCTGAGGTAGTGTTATTTAAGAAATCTTTAGCATTAAACCAATGACCTACCTTTGAAAGGGTATCGTTAACATTGTCATAATTAACGTCATGTCTGTCTGTTTTAAAAATCAAGGATGTTTATATTAAAGGGAACTGAAAGTGAAATAAATAGAACCCAAATATAACAAGGCTACTCCCGATTTCCGGCGCCCTTTGGGGTCAGCAATAAAAATAACTACTAAATGTGAACATTAAAATTTAGCGTTGCATTACAACATACTTTCCCAAAGTGGTCCCTACCACCCAGTGGGCGCTGAAGAGAGAGAAGAAAAATAACTGAATTATCTACGTAAACTACACTACATATTCAACAGCCTCTGTAGCCGAACGGTTACCGTGCTGGACTGCCACGCAGAGGTCTTAGGTACCCGGGTCGCAAAAAATATTTGTAAAGCCAAAATTTTTTTTATATATGTAATATCAAGTGACGGTACGAACAAGTCGTGCGCCTGATGACAAAGCTACACGTCTGTCCATAACAGTTACAGTGCTACTCAGAGCTTCAAAGCGCAAAGATCTGAGGGGTACTGCCACTACGCCCGTCACCCTGAGGCATAAGTTGTCAAGTCCCACGTGCCTGTAATTTCACCAGCACCCTCACCCTTCGAAACCGGAACACAGTAATGCTGACATTACTGGTTAAAGCGGCAGAAAGTAAAAAAGTACTACCGTAGACAAACTCTTCCATAAGGGGCTCTACTGCCACTAAACTTTATTTCTCTCATGAGTTTGGGTGTAATTTGTGTTTGTCTTAGGCTCAACCAAGCGTCAAAGCGCGTTTCCATATTTGCATAACAAAAATTTGTACCATAATAATGGGAAAATAGAGATGAACATGCTACAGGCGAAAAACATGACGCGTCGTGACGCTTCGACTCTGCGCCAGTGTGAGTTGAGCTTTAGTGTTTGTCCATGGCTCCCGCGTTACAGGGTTTCCCTAGTGCGGAGCTACGTTGAGTGTGTGCTTTATTATATAATTTTTTCCTAGTGATTTTTTGTGTTAAGTTAATGTAAAAAATACGTGTTTCCAATTATTTTTTGTGGTAAAGTTTTTAATAACATATTTACAAATTTCAATAATCACGATAAAATAAAATTAAAAAATATCTGCTTACGTACGTACTTATTATTATGGTATGTACATAACTTATTATATATTCTTATTCAACCTCCGTGGTCGATGGCTTGCACACCGATTTGCATGGTGTCGGGTTCGCATCCCCTTCCGGGTCAATGAAGAAAACCTTTTCTATATTATCTCGGGTCTGGGTGTTTGTAGTACCGTCGTTGTTTCCTATTTCCATAACACAAGTGCTTTAGTTACGTACTATGGGATCAGAACAACGAATGTGATATTGTCTAATTTTTATTTATTTATTATCCCAGTACAGTAAGTGTGCATTTGCACGTTGTATGCGATGTATTTACATCGCATATGAAACTAAATATAAACCAAATGTCGTCAAAATCGACAAAACACATCTTGAAAGCTTAAAAAAGACACTGAATGAATCTTATTGCAAACAATGGGATTATATCTCCCGGGCCGGGAGAAATATTTGTATGGCCTACATTTATTTCTCTCGTGAGCTTGGGTGTAATTTGTGGTTTTCTTTGTCCATGGCATTCGCGACACAGGGTTTCCCTAGCGGGTCTATGTTGAGCATCGAGTATATAACCAGAAATAGAGACGCAACGTCATTTAATTTATTTGAAAACTATTCTACCATATCATTACTGTGACAACTGCGCTCCGATTGGCTGGCCCGAGTTCGAAACAATTGACGAGTGTCGTCAATTGTTTCACTTCAAATCGACCAGTTTTTTTTTAAATTTATTTATCTTTTAAAACGTAATACACAACAATGTTTCTAGTCGCATTTTAAACCACTAAGGTTCGTAGTAATGCGAATAGTTAACTTAGTTAACTTGGGCTTTGCTATAATGGACGAAAATTGCAAAATTACATATTTAATTACCGATGAAATTTGATTCCGTTTGTTCTGTAATTAGATGTTTTGTGGTTTTTCCCCACACCAGCGAATGGAACAGCACGCCATTGTTAGAGATATTATCTTTATTACAATAAATACAGAATACTTCTGGAATATACGGAGACAGTCAATTGTTGGCGGCTGTCTATATTTCAGTGCAAACGGGAGTTGATATTTATAAGTGACGTATCACTGATAAGTTACCAGGAATGTGTGGCCCTTATTTCGTCTCTATTTCTGGTTATATACTCGATGATGTTGAGTGTGTGTGTAAGTTACAGACCAAATATTTTTTTTACTTCCTTGGAGAATGTAAGTTTATTGGTTATTGGTTTATTGGTTTATTTCTGTAATTTTTCAACTTTTAAATCGCATTCACTCACATTTCAGTTACGACAGTATTGGATTCATGTGCGAAATATTTACAAATGCGAAAGTTTAAATAGGTTTTACCCTCAATTTCGGACGTTAATGGCTTTTAATACAATTAAAACCCGACGTTACAAAGCGCCGGATTAAAACCCGGTAGCTTGCCCGGCTGTGCTTGTCACACTTAGATATTTTAAAAAATACCTAATTTCTGGTTTGACTTGTCTTGTATAAAAATTTGAAAGTCATACGTACTGAAACAGACATGTCTAAAGATCCGTTCCGCTAACTTTAAATTAATGAATTAAGCTTGATACAGTGTGACATCCTGTCTTAGGCAATACTGAATACTGAAAATTTAACAATACAGCATAATTTACATTGTCGGATAATCAACAAAAACAATCGCTATCCATTATAGTTTACGGAGCGCAATTTCATTTGACACTGGCCAGTTGTACTTAAGACATCGCTGCGTTCGAACCAGTGCAGTTTAAAAAAAATAATAAAATAACGTTTCTTAAAAATAATAATAAAACAATTGTGTTAAAAAGTGGTTAAAAATGAATTTCCTCATTTCAAAATTCAAGTGGCAAAATGGTTCCAGAATAAATCAATACATGTTGGCTATTATTCGTAAGTAAATTTTTCGTGTTTTTGTTTTGGAAAACTACCCTCAAGACAATTAATAAACGGTAATGTAATTGTAGTTCCTACGTAGTCCAAACTTTCAATTCTAATTTTAAAAAGTACCAAGCAATTTATAACCGGTTTAAGAAACTGACAACGGGTAAACAACATTTGTGTTAACAAATTCACAACAGACTGAACCCTGGTATTTTAGAATATAAAAACAATAAATAAAATTCAGAATACGGTGGTTTGCATTAATATTAGACATAACTGTCTGATGACTTTACCATCTCAGTCAACCGTGACCAAGGAACCTGTAAAGAACCCAAAACGTTGGTTTGTTTGAAAAACGAGTATATTATAAATCCGAAAAAAGTTTCATTTCTAATGTGAACCATTGTAACAATCGCAAAATTCTAAGAACTTTTTATGTGTTCTATTCACTAAATTATTCTATAATATCGATACTTCAGTGAAGACAACACAATTTTATCAAAAATGTGCTATTTTTTGTATGTAGTCAGGCGGAGAGTAAAAAGTGACACTTGGGTTAAATTTTCAAGCTCGTTCGTTCTGTTTAGTCAGAGAATTATTCTTGCTAAAACTAACTAAACTTAATTATGTTTCACCTAAACATAAAATACTTCGCACATGACAACTAACATAGTATTATCTCAAAAATTGCGATATATACACACATCAAAAGTGTTTAGTGTTGAAAAAAATAATTAAAAAAAAACCTGATTTTCAATCATTTTCAAATACGCGCTTGATCACTTGACAGTTTTAGTGTGTGACTGTATGTCATTTGTACACGATTTAATTTCAAAGTGACAGTTTTTTATCGTCACTGTGAAACTAAAATTTTGAAATAAAAATAAGTTAAATTAAATTTGAAATAAATGACATACTTATAACGCAATTATTAAGATAATACTATTTTAGGAGTCATATGCGATTTGTAAAAATAAAAAGGATATGTAACAAAACGTTCACACAGATTTGTGTTTTCAGTCGTTTTGTAAACTTTGTATGGCTTATACGACTTTTCTTTCCTGAAGTATTCATATGTATAAAGCCAGCTGGAGTAACCGTACTCTCGTCATTTATTTGTTAAATAATTTCAGAAAAAATCGATCATTTTAAAATAAAAATACACGTAATAATGTGTTAGGCGGCATCTGCTATCGCTTGGCTTATATAAACAACAACTCCAGCCTATGTACATGTGCTGCCTTACATAAAGCCATAAAATCATAGTTAATGCGTCGTAAAGATTTCGAGAAATTTCATTTCCAATGATTTCCTGATGTGTACAGTCAACAATATGTCAAGTTTGACACTGAATACTTCTTATCTTACTAAATCATTTTTTTTTATAATACTAAGTGACGGGGCGGACAAGTGCGCCTTGTGCACATTCCCATTATGTCGTGAAGACAGGTAGTCGTGCAGTTTAAAGTGTCGTGACTTGTATACTTGAATGAAGATGTTCACACATAGAACAACACGATTTAGGGCGCGTTCCCATTATGTCGTAACATTTTATTTATCGTTAGACGACTGTTGCATCTAGCCTGTTCTCATATCACGACTATCTGTTGAGGACGATTATTTTATCGTTGAACGACTGTCGTGCCTAGTTGTTCCCACTACATCGTGACGACAATTTATCGTTTCACGGCAGCCATCTGTCGTTTGCACGACTGAGTCGCTTGATGCACTGCAGTTGCTTCTATGTATTTGAAGCCGTAGTCTGTGTTGGATGAAGATGAAATTATACTAAATGTATTACTTTTTAAGAGGCCGAAGAGGAAGCAAACGAAGAAAAGAAAGTTTTGTGTAGGTATATCCATTCTAGAATTCCATTAGGATTATATCAAACATGTATAGATGAACTGAAAAATGTTGGGAGAAACTTTTGAGACTATTTAAGAATTTAATATTTTGTAGTAATATTTATAATTAAATTTTAACGAAACTCAAACTCAAACTCAATTCGGTTTAGTTGTAAATAATGTTTGACCTCCATTTCGGGCATTAATGGGTTTTAACCCGATTTAAACCCGGCTCTTTTATTAACAAAGCTCCGGATCATAACTCTGGGGCTTGCCCATCTTTGGCTACGACCCAACGCTAGTACAGGGTCAAGAGCAAGTCAAGCTTGACACTTAATACTTAAATACAACTCTGTGCCGCTTACGATAAGAACGGTCAACAGTACAAAGTGTCAAGCTTGACGTACAAAGCGAGCCGAGACGTCGCGGGATACGAGAGGGAGAGTAATACTAATTTTAAATAATCTCAGTTGTGTGTTGGTAGAGTTGTTTCGTAT